TCGTAGAGCTCGTTGGCGAGATCCGCGTTACCGGCCATTGCCACATACTGGTACAATGTCGCCTGCAACGGCCCTGAGTCGCCAAATATGATCGTAGTCAGGAGGAGTGTACCTGAAGGGACGCATCTGTTCCGACAAACGACGTCGCGATCGACCACTTTTTCTGCGCGCAAAGCTTCTCGAGCGCTTCGCGCCGAAACCAGCTCTCTACACGAAGCATGACGCAGATGTTCCGACTCGGGCAGCACCGCACCGACGTCCGGAAAGGCCGCTTGGAGGCCGTACAAGTGTACAAATTTGTGCGCCTACGAGCTTTGTCACGTCCAACGTGGTGGCGACGAATGAGAACCTTCTTGATGTCTTGCTTGGCCAGTGTGAGCTCGACAAGGTGCGTCGTCAGGTCTACAGCGCCATTCATCAGTGGTCGTCGACCGCTACAAGAAGCGGCCAACGCTGCAGGTTCTGACTGGGCGCGGCCTTGAGCAATTGCTCCGCCATGGACCAGCTGTTGGTCGCGACGAGCTGTCCCAAAAGCCATGAAAAGTCCCACTGCAGCGCCGGGAAGGCCGCCACGAGCTTGAGAACGCTTATGTACTCTTGGTTTTGGACGAGCCTGCGTCCGTACGCAAGGACGCGCTCGTCGTCGACGGCGTGCAGCGAAAAGAGGCCCATGGCCTTTGTCACGACCTTGGCATCCTACAACACACTTGGCATATCGGCTATAAAGCACGCCGTGTCATTGCGCACCACCGTGTCGGCTCCATCGAGGGCGCGGACGACGAGCACCTGCAGCTGTCGCCGCGTGGCGTCGGCTACATAAGCCGTGGTCTCAATACGTAGCTCGTCCAGCGTCATGAGAAGCAAGTAGGCAATTGGCGCCGTCGTATCGGTCCAAAAGCGCATGGTCAAGTCGACAAGCGTCGCAGCGCACGCCATCGGATTCGTCGCGCGCTGGTCGACGATCATTCCCAAGGCTGCCTTGCAGACGCCAAAGTTGTTGACGGGCACCGCGTGGAAGAGCTCGCGCAAGAGGTTAGCGCAGCCATCGTCTCGAGCTTCCAACGACGCTTGGACATCACGCCAGCGCGAGTCGTCTATGCTTGGCGTGGATCTCGGAAGGCGTGCGCTCTCTGCCATGCTGCCGATTGCTACACAACACTATTCGAGACCAAAAATACCTAAATAATTGTATAGTGTACGAATTACATTATTTATTGTGCAAAACCTATATAGTATTATGCCTAATACTGTGAGCTACAGCATTTCCGTGCAAACCGTCGAACATCCTTCGGATATCGAAAGTGTATCCGGTAGCTTCGATATTTTCGCGATCTTGACACGGAGTGGCAGAACGCCTTGTGCATGCGGCTGCGCAGGAGCCCCGCTAAGTCGTCGACCAAGCCCATCATGTACACTCTGGGCGTCCTTCTGCCACTTCTCGTGCTCGTCTTGGCACTGCTATCGCAGGACGACCAGCCACTAGCGCTCAAGGCCGACGGCGCTGCGCCGATTCGGGAGCCCGTGGTCGCTGAGCCGGCGCCAGCGTCCAAGCCACGCTATAGCGCCAAGCAGCGCCGCGCCGTGGGCTACCTGCAAACCGCCATGGGTCATTTTGAGGCGCAAAAGTGGCCGCTCGTTGTAGAGGAGTGCGAGAAGGCGATCGCGGCCGACCCGGACCTCGTCTTTGGGCATGCGCTCATGGGCAATGCGCTCAACGTCATGATGCAGTGGGAGCGCGCGGCCGACAGCTGGCGCAAGGCGACAGAGCTCGAGCCAACTTCGTTCGAGTTTTACTACCACCTCGGTTTTGCGCTCTCGCAGCTGGCGCAGGACCAAGTCAACAACCAGAAGAAGCACACAATTGGCAAGCAAGCGATCGAGAGCTTCGAGACGTACTTTACACTGGCCGAAGGCGACAGCGACGCGACAACCGACCAAATGTCGCTTGCGCACGCGAGTCTCGCGGCCATCTACAAGACCAACAAGCTCGCCGAGAAGCAGGAGCTGGCGCTCAGCCATTTTGAAGCCGCGGCCGCTCTCGACCACACCAACGAGCTCGCATTCTTCAACATTGGGCTCTTGTACGCCGAAAAGTACGAGAAGCGCGGCGACGAGACCGATCTAGAGAACGCGCTGCGGGCGATCGAGCATGCGGTGACACTCGACCCGACCAACACGAAATACGTGGCGGTTCGAGACGCACTTGTGGGGCATTCGAGTCCCGCCGAGCTCATGGCGGCCATGCAGCAGCTCTAAGTCGCCCATTTCCAAGCTGGATAAATGGATATTGATAGCATTTCTTTCGACCAAAAACTTCAATCGTACAAACGTGGTTATTGCTTAGCCATGGCGCTTTGTGAGCGGCTTGTCGCTCACCTCGTCGCGGCTCCGTGCGGCGAAGTAGTCTCGATTGGCTTGGATCTGGTCGAGAAGGGGCTTGGCGTGGGGCACGAGTTGGCTCGTGAGCGTCCAGAGCGGCAAAACGACAAAGTCGAGAAAGTTGACTTGGAGGACATCCCGCATTTGCTATGTGGATCTATCGCACGGGTGTGTACAACGAAAAGTGCTACTGGGTTCTCCATGTGCGCGTAATGTGGCGGTGCGGGCAACCCGAGATCGTGCATGCGCTGGGCTTGATCGGCAAATTCGGCGCAGACCCGTTCCATCCTATTTTCTCATACACTAATAATGTCGACAAAAATGCGACACGAATACCAGAGCAAGGACGTGGAGGGCGATAGCGTCGAGTTGCCGAGGTCGCTCGTGTGCAGGATCCAGTTGAGGTACAACTGTTTTCCATTCGACGACGCGCGGAGGAGCTTTGGGTCGGCCTTCTCGGTCATGGCACTCACTAGCTCCGCGTGGTACTTGATGTCTACGCCATCACGTCATGCACGAAGGCGCCATGGTCGCATTCGACCTGTGTGGAGAATGCACTGGATAATGCACTGGCGCAGCGTAGCGTACTGGGAGGCATCGAGCGACCCGAGCACATTGCAGCATGGGTCTACAGGTAGCGCGTCACGCACCGATAAGAGACACCACCCACCGCGCAAGAGGCCAAAGAGAAGCGCAATCGAGTGCGACTCGAGCACCTACGATCACAGAGGACAATACGTCTTGACTCTCGACTCCAAAGCTCAGATACCGAAATATCATTGTAGCGGATCGCGAGCTCCGACGACGTGGCAACTTCAAACGCGTTGTCGTTGCCGGGGTGGCCAAGGTCGTGGCCAAGCGCGGCGAGGAGCACGCCGAGTGCATCCAGCTCATTAACGTCCGGTAGGCGGTCGGCCGCGAGCAAAAAGTAGGTCAAGTGCGTCACGCTAAACGCATGGTAAAAGCTATGGTACGGCAGCTCGCGGTATCTAGCACCGAGAGATATCATTTCTTAGTGCAACGGATGTATCAACTTGATACAAGCCGACGGTACCCGAGTTGCAGCGCGTCCAAAAACGTTTTGAACCCAGCGACGTCGATGCGAAAGGTGTCGAGAAGTCGGTAGCTGGAAAACATAGCAACGACGAGCGCCTTGAGCTCCAGAAACGTCTTTTCAAAAACGTTGATGTCGATCTGGAGCAAGGCGGGGGACGGTGTTAAGAACCGATCGGCATGGGGTCCCAACTCGGCCATCGAGACACTGCCCTTGAGCTTGGTGCGCGCGAGCTTGCTTGCTGCACTCTTGACGGCGTGAAACGTAGCAAACTCGTTGGATGTGAGAGTCTCGAGGCCGCTCGCTTGGAGAAGCGAGCGAATGCGTTCGTGTTGCTTGGCCATCGCGTGCTAGCCGTTCAAGTATTATAGAAGACAATATTTCCACGAAACGCCCGTACTTCGTGGTGTAGCCGCGAGACGCGCTCCCGGTCCGCGTGGACTTTGGCAAACATGAGCAGCGCCGGGTTCTTCTCAATGATGTGGCCCATCGCCGATGCAAACACGAGCAAAAACAAAGTGTCGTACGCTTGCACGTGGCGGAGGTCGGCGTGCAGCGTCGTCGCCGACGTCTTGTGCAACGCTTGGCTCACCTAACCCGGCCAAGATGATTGTCCTCTTCTAGTTTGAGTTGATGGAGTGAATACCGCGACCACGTCCCCCCGGGAATTGCAGATCGGGACGACCAGGCACGCATGCGAACCCGTGCCGGGGGCGTACTCGGTGACCGCGCCCATCTCGTCGACACGGACGTCTAGGTACCACCGCGTCGCCTTTGTCTACACCACAACAAGCAGACGGTATTAGAATGCCACCAGTCAAATCGTACCTCGACAATCGCGCCGACAACACCGTCGCCAAAGGGCACGTGCTTCCCACTCGAGATGCCGCTGCCGTTGAAGCTCCAGAGCTCTTGGTGCACGCGGTCGCAGACGTAGAGCCGAAAGTCCTTGGTGGCAAAGAAGGCGGTGCCGGCCGCACAAATGAGCTGCATCTTGCGTCCGCCGTCCGACGTCATCCACACGTCGTTCGTGAGCTCAAGGAATTTGATGAGCAGCTGCTTTTGGTGCGAGAGAAAACCAACGTCGGACGTGAGCTTGTCGATCTCGCACCCGCTGACCATGATGGCACGCACGAGCTTGAACACATTGGGCTCGCACGCCAGCGACGGCGCCGACGTCGAAACGCAGAGCACGCTGTAGTAGTCGGCCGTCACCGACGGGATCGCAACGACGGCGGCTGACACTACCGCCACCGCATCGCCGACGAGCGTCTGCACGAGTGCGAGGTCGCTGTGCGCGGCCACGGGCCCGACACGCGAGAGAAGCAACGTGAGCTGCGCAAAATTCGGCCCTTTTGGCTGCGGAAAGAGGCGGACCTCCGTCGCACCAGAGCTCGCCGCGGTCTGCAAAATACGCTCGGACGCCGTCGTGATTTGAAAGACCCACGCGGTCTCGGCGCCGACGAGCTGGACGACGCCGCGCAGCGCTTGCGCTAAAGCGGCATTGGCATTGGGGGGCGGCGCCTGGACGAGCTTTGTGATGTGAAGCGCGTTCGGACGAAGCGTCGGCGACGCGCAGGCGTCTTTGCGACGACCTTGCAACAAGTTGCCAATCGCGCCAATGAAGGGCGGTAATAGCACGGGACAAAAGTAGTGTTCCTTATAGCAGCGCAGCTCGACGACCGCTGCGAGGACACCGCGGACCAAGATGGGGTACGCGAGGTAGCTGTGGGTGCGCGTGCCGAGACGCCCATCGACGTCGGAAGCAACGTTGTACGCCGCATGTCGCTGGACGTTGAGAACAAAGACGGGGGACGGGTCGTCGGGCGCCCCCCGTTGGAGGAGGAGCTCCCCCGGCAGACTTTGCACCAAGCTGTGGTTGGTTTCGAGGAGGTCCCGTGACGTTGTCGCGCGCACGTGCAAGTACATGTCGGTCACCATGTAGACCACAAGACAATCTAGTGCACGTTTCAGAGGCTAGTTGACTAGAAGCCAGAACGTATTACCAGCACCAAGGACGCCAAACGCTTCATACAGCGTCTCCTGCAGCATCATGGTCACGCGCGCCGTGTCTTGCAGTGACGCATCGTCCAGCCGTAGTGAGGCCAGATACCTAGCACTTCGTGTTTAGTCTCGATCATACACGCAGGCGAAATGCCGCACCGATAAAAGTGGAGACGGCGAAAGGTCTCGTCGATGGTGGCGCTGGCGACGGGGGGTGCCGACGAGAGCAGCTGCTTCTCTAGCACTTGCTCAACGTTCAAGCTACGCACTGTGAGTCCATAGCACGCTATGCGAACGGTGCAACTACCTTGAGTGGCGGGTCGGCGACGGTGATCGCGCGGGGGGCTTTTTCTAGGGCATCGTGTCAGCCAATATAGGGCTCACGGCCGCTGCACCGTCGCGTCAGTGTGTGGGGGGCGCGGGAGCGAGGCCTTGGCGCGGGGCGCCGCCACCACGATGCTGCGGAACTCGCTCCCACCGCCTTTCCGGGGGCGCATTGGCAAATTCGTGAGCAGTTTCGCAGAAAACGCTCCTTGACCGGCGTCACATATTTTTACCACATGCTAACACGAGACAACGGGAGATTAATGTTCAAGCTAGGATTATTTGGCTGACGTGGCTACTCGAAGGCTAGTGGGCAAAGTAGGACAATGATTTATGGTAGAATGCTACAGTATATTGATGTACTACGAAAAGCTTGCATGATGTATCGGCTTGATCACAATGTCACGCAAGCAGCAAGTCATGAAATTTGCGGGTGGAATGTCGGTGGCTAAGAAACGGGCTTCGTTTCACTCGTATAACTCGAATCTCAATCTTAAAATAGCACTGGCTTACGAAATAATCCTTCGGCCTGGCTCTGGAAATAACGCCCAGCGAAATTCTAATTTCGTAAAACGAGATATTGGCGCCACTATCTGGCGTATCCGGCTCATCCGCTTAATTTAAGCTTGCTTTTAGTATTGAGATACCCGAGATAGTGCCTCGATTATTCTGGTTTTACGAAATTCGAGCGAAATCGGGCCATAATAGTGCCCAAAAAACGGTAAAGTATCGTAATTACCATTATTTTACCGTTAAATGAATTACCCACTTCCAAAAATCTATGGCGAAGCGCTCGCCCGCTCCTCCGACTGCCGCCGCGCGCGCAAAGAAGGCGCGCCGCAATGCTAGCACCAGTAGTGCTTCCTCCTCCCGTCTCGGCCGACGCTCCTCGTACCCTGCCGGCCGACATCCCAGGTGCCGCGGTCATCTACCGCTGCATGGCCAAGTCGACGCGCAAGCAGTACCGGGCGTCGAGCAATGCGTTCGCCCGGTGGACGATCAAGATCCATTACGCTCCCACTGCCAGTCGAAGTCGTGCAGCGCTACTATGATTGCCTCACGCACAAAGTCGACCGCAACGGCCAGCCGTTCGACCCTTCGCAATACAACTTGCGCAACTACGTCAACGGCGCCAAGAGTGCGCTTGTCTTCTTGCACAAGGACGTCTGCGCGATCTCGCCAGAACTTGACGCGATGATGACGAGTATGCTTCTACATTCCGACAACCATGGTCGCTGACTACTCCTTAGGTATTAAGGCAAGGAACCGCTCTCCATGGAGGGTACATCTCGCGAATGATTCCGTAGCTGACTTACCAAATGCCTTTTTTCTAGGCTACATGTATCTCGTCGAGACAGCTATAAAACCAAGTAGAGACCCACTCCTCTCCAAGAAGGCGCATGCATTCCTCGTGTTTTGCTGGAACCTAGCGACGCGGGCAGCCTCGAGAGCGACCATCATGTACGAGAAAATCACGTCTTAAGCAATAACATAGCTACTTACGTCTTTGCAAAAGATCGATCATACTTGTACATGGCACCCCAGGGACTTCATGCGTCAAGACGCCACGTCATAGCCTCCCGTATTGGATAAATACGTATAATATTTCACAGGTATCAGCCATTTCGCCCGAATTTCGTAAAGCACCATCTTTATTAAATACTAGCAAAGCGTGGACACTCACGAGCAACCCTCGAAACTCAACCTGGCACGACTGTCCCCTGAGCTGTCCCCCTGACGGTCCCCGGCCGAGCAGCGATCTTGTGAAATGTTGGAGAGGTGCATTTGCATTGGCTATTATGTCGCTCAAAAGGAATCTATTTCGACCAATCGCGTATCGCAGTGCTACGATCGGGCCTATTTGTGTTAATTATGGCGTGTGCCAAAGCTATCTGCCAGCGTGACCTTTGCGTGTGGCTGACGTATGTAATTCAGAGCGACGCTCGCAGTCGTATAGGTACTAAGCTTTGTTCTTTAGTTTTCATGAGCTCAAGGTAAACTTGCTTGTTCCCGTTGAACTTGGGCTTGATCGCATGCGTTGGTGCAAGTACACGCTGGCCCTTATGTTTGGCTATTTGTGGCAACAGACGTTTTCCGCACCGCTGATCGCCACATGCACCGGCAGCTGCATCGGTTCCGAGCGCTGCTGCCGCTTGCCGCCGCTGCGTGGGCGGCGCCTCCCGCCCACAACGAGTCCATTAACGATCGCTACGTCGTCGGTAAGCAGCTCGGCGTCGGCGGCTTCTCGGTCGTCAAGGCTGCCCGCGACAAGACCACTGGCGCGGACGTCGCGGCCAAGTTTTTCGACATGAAGAGCGCGTCCATCGATGAGATCGAGGCCGAGGTACTACTGCACTACGATCATAGTCCTGACACTTGATGCGGCCATATCAGATCGACATGCTGCGCTCCATCGGGCAGCATGCCAACATCGTGTCGCTCCGCGATGTCATTTACGAGCCGACGCGCATCATCATGATCATGGATCTTGTCCGAGGCGGCGAGCTCTTTGACTACATTGTGGAAAAGGTCGGACACTAAGAGCTGAGCGTTCTGCGACGACGTGGTTCTAGGGCTCCATGACCGAGGCGGACGCGAGTCGCATCCTGCGCGACGTCTGCTTGGCACTGGACCATTTGCACCACCGTGGTGTCTGGTGCGACAACGAATAGGGCTACCGCTTGGATATATGCTGAGTGAGCAAACTCACTTAGTCACCGCGATCTCAAGCCCGAGAATCTCCTTCTGACCGACACGTCGTCCCACCCTGGCATCAAGATTGCGGTGCGTCGAACGTGCTCCCTGTATATTGACATGGTCTTTGCTAGGACTTTGGGCTTAGTCGGCGACAACACATTGGCCAATCGATTGTCGAAGACTGCCCCACCGGCACCATGTATGCTAAAACTGAAACTGAATCTCAAAACACACGATGTGCTAGGGTGTATTGGGCCCCCGAAATCATCAAGCGCGCGCCTCAAGACGTCGGTGTCGACATGTGGGCCTTTGGCGTCTTGGTATTATGCTACTTGTTCTATCCAAACTAACGGCTCTCTGTTATATAGCTTTACATTACGCTCACAGGCATTCACCCGTTCGACCCGAAGGGCAATGCGTCAGACGCGCAGATTCTCGCTCTGGCGGCCAAGGGCGCTTACGACAGTACAAATCACAGTTGAAAGCGAGAGGCTGATGGCCGTATGTGTAGCCGACAACCCGTGGTATAGCAACCTCTCGGCGCCGGCCAAAGACCTCATCGCCCACCTCCTCGAGCTGGACCCGAAGCGGCGCTACACGGCCGCGCAGGCGCTCGCCCACCCGTGGATGCTCCATCGCGACGGCACGACGCCTCTCTCGGACGGCCTCACGTCGCGCTTGCAGGCTTACCGCCGCCTCCAGAAGCTCCGAGCCAACATCCTCACGGTGATTTTGAGCCAAACCAAGCTCAATGTGGCGAGCCTCCCGCTCTCGTCGCCGTCGCGGCTTCTCGTGCGGCGTGCGCGCACGGCCAACATTGACATGTACATGGAAGTCTTCCTCGTCTTTGACAAGGACGGAAACGGCTACGTCTCGCGCTCGGAGCTCGGTGCTGCGCTCCAATCCCTCGGCCAGCGCCTCACCGAGTACGTTCCTCCAGTCGGAAACCAAGTTGAATGCCTCTGTCTGTAGGCACGAAATTGACGCCATCATGGGCATGGCCGATGTTGACGGCGACGGCGGCATCTCGTTTGATGAGTTTGTGAGCATGATGAACTCGAGCTTGTTCAAGTGGGGGGCGCTCGACGAGACCGATATGCACGTGGCGTTCGAGATTTTCGACGCGAACCACGACGGCTTCATCTCGGCCGACGAGCTAGCGTATGTCGTGAGTCTCTTTGGCAACACGACGCCCATGTCGGAGGCCGAGGTGCTGGACCTCATGCGCGCGATCGACGCGAATGGCGATGGCAAGATCGATTACACCGAGTTCGCAGCGCTCATGGGCAACATGCTCAAGCAAAATGACCAAGTCTAAGGCGGCGCACGATTATTGTCACCACTTTGATTTGCAAACATATGTGACATCTGGTACTAACTTACTAGTACATGTACCACACTCTCCTTTTACGCCGACAAGCTCGGAACGATGCCATCGCCGCTGAGCCTCATGTGATAAAAAAATCCTTGCATTATTTCCCTTGGTTGAATTGGTTCCTACACTGCAGTAATGTGTATAGTACTCGGCAATAACAGGATCGTGGGGCCGATCGTTGAAGCACGTGCCGGTAGCGAGTCGCCCCGCTCATGCCCGAGGTTGAAGATGTCAAATGCTACACATGGAAGAGAAGGATACTAGCCATGAGAACATTGTCGTGGTCTGGTTCACATAAAGTACGATGGACGGGAGATGAGGACTGACCTCCAGCTGTCGTCAAGTGCACAAGAAGAAGAAACGCAGTGCCGTCCGTTGCGACGGTCTGAGTTAAGCAATGCCGCGATCGGTAATTCGTTGAACTGGAAATGATGACGACGAGAAGCGAGGCACGTCCAGCCTTGGGTGCCAGGAGCGTGCTCGAGGTGCCAGTCCCCACTCCAGCTTCCTCCGCCGCACACATGATGCAAGCAATTGCAGTAGTCGCATACAAGGTAAGTCACACATGCAGGGAGATACAAGGTGACGATCCGTTGCACCCAAGGAGCTTCGCAGGAAACTTGTGTTCTCAGATACGAGGAATCATATCTTTCGTTACGAAGCGCAAAAACTAACGCAATCCCGCTTCACCTTCTGACTCAGAAGGACTCTCTCTGTTCCTGGCTCAGATGCAACTAAGAGCCTGGATCAAAATAGCAGACGTTCAATGAAGGCGTGCATTCGTGAGCAGGGTCAAGGGTACCGGTACATCGTAGTGTCGCTCTCTGCGAGGTCCTGCGCGCCGTATTGACCGGAGTCTTTGCTACAACGTACGACATCGACTATGTAAGAGACACTATCTTCAAGAACCACTTGCTTCGCCCACGCAACGACGACGACGGTCCCACCCCCACCGTTAGTCCAAGGTCTGTCCATACATGCCAGCCTTCGCAGTGCCACGCTTGGTATGCAAGGTAAACGCCGCGCCCACGAGCGTTGCGTCAGCACTGTCGTTGCGTGTAGCAGCACACTCGGTGGTGTTGCTTCGAATGGCTTTGGGCTCTGCGCCGTTGGTATTTGTAGGTCGACTGGCATCGCTCACGAGGCAAAGACGACGCCGCCGCCATCACGCCGGCTGTTGCCATCCTCCAAACAGCTGGTTCGAATGCGACCACACATGTGCTGTGGGACTCACAGTACAGAGCACGTCCCACTGCCGCTCGTAGTGTGTTCTTGCGGTCGACTCGGTCCTTTTGGCACGAGCCGATCGCTCACTTTTCCATTCGATCTCCTCAAGAGACTCGATGGTGGCGCGACGCAACGAACTCGCACCGGCCGAGCGGCTCTCGTATGTGAGCTCCACGACGGGCATCATCAAGGGCAGCGCCGACGATGGCTTTGCCGAGTCCAAGACACCCGGCGAGCTCGAAGACGGCGCGCTTCGCAACGGTGACGCGCCCATCTACACGTCGCCCGAGATTCTCGCCCTCCTCTTCCAGTACGCGGCCATCGGCGTCGTCTACGGCGGCATGAACGGGATGCAGTACCCGGTCTTGACCGGGTACTTTACGCTCCAAGGCAACGTGCTCAACTCGGCGACAGCGCTCATGAGTCTTGGCTGGTCGCTCAA